TGTTCCTCAAGGCTCTGTCCAACCTGGCCTTGAACACTGCCAGGGTTGGAGTATTCACAATTTCCATGGGGACGTGGCAAGAGAAGAACCAGGGCCAGGGTCCACCTACAGAGCCCAGGTTCAGGGAACGGTGAGAGCTGGCTGCTCCCTGTGGCATGGGATATTCATTGTCCAGGTCCCAGCCCCATGGCAAGAGGAGAAAGACAGACTCTGAAATGGTGGCAGGTCCAACCAAGTCTTCAGATTGTAAGGCAATATAGCAACAGGGCAGGTCCAAAATCAAGCTGGGAAGTCAATCCACAAGCGAGGGAGGGTTGGGATGAAGCCCAGTGACCATCAGATAGGTCCACAGTGGCAGAGCAGGGCCAAGATCAAGCCAGAAAATCAGCCCGCAAGATTCTGTGATCAGTGGGATCAAGGGGGCCGATGCCTGGGCAGAGTGGGTCTGTGGGGAGGTAGACATTGGCCCTGATTCAGTGTTGCTGGGGCAGCGGCTGGTGGCCCAGGGGGGAACATGGGGGTCTGGGCTGTGAGTAGGTGAGGGAGGCCCCATGGGAGGTCAGAGCCAACAAGGGCTGTTTAGCACCCTCAGGGCTCAGACACAGCAGCCTCCCCTCTGAGGAAAGTGTGTCCTCTCTCTTTAGAGACCTGGGCGCAGGAGGGACGTGCTCCAGAGTCACTCAGTGGCTGTGGGGTGTCAGTGGGCTGTTCCAGAGGACATAAAGCCAGAACAGGGACTGTGGACTGGAAACGGACATGGCATAATAGCTTGGAGGCTGAATGAGGGGGTCAGGCCACCCCAAGGGGCACAAGCCAGGGAAGAACAGGACCTGACTGGGTGGAAGGGGGTTCACTTATGAGCCTGGGTCTGAGTAATGGGTGAGTGCTGTGGGGAGATCAAGAGGCTTTGTAAGGACAAGGCCCTGTGTGGCCTGAGACCAGGTTCCATGGTGCTCAGCAGAGGGCTCAAGGAGGCCTGAGCTTGCTGCCAGGGAGAAGCAAGGGCTGGCTGCTTCCCTAAAGAAAGACAAACCAGGAGGCAAGGGGGATACCACCACCAGCAGGGCAGAAGTCTCACCAGCCAGGGCTCAGTCCCACAAGACCTGGCAGAGCAGACCCAGAGATCGCACACAACTCTAACGAAGAGCCCAGATCATAAGGCAATGTCATGGCTATGAGGCAAGTCCGAAGACAAAACACAAAGTCAATTCATATGTCAGAGCTAGGCTCAGGTCCAGTGATCACAAGGCAGGGCCAAGGTCACACTAGAAGTCCTTGGCTAGGCATGGGCACAGCTGTGTTTGAGCTGGAGACTGAAACACCTCTGATGTAGCACAGAGAGGGACTGAACGTCCATGTCATAGCTTAGAGTTCCTGCATCCATAGGTGTGGGTAGAGGCTCCAGGTGTGGCTGGTCAGGACCATTAAAGGCTTATGAGTGCACTCAGAGCCATGTACCCACTTATGGGGAAAAGAGAGGGACCTGGAGACAAGGCTACAAGGCTTTGGTCTGAGGTCCATCAGAAAGCAAGCCTGGAGACAGGCACCTACCACATACTTCAGGCAGAGACTTGAAGTGCCAAGGCTTGGCTGAAATGGGCTTCTGTTGTGGGCAACAATCTTGACTTGGGGAGTTTCACATAATTTCTTGCTGATAACATTAAACTTCTGTTGTTGATTCAGGTATTGAAAAAAACAATGTAACAAACTATGAAACAGACCTTTCATCCCACTTCCCCACACTCAGCTGCAGTCCAAAACCTCTCTTCTCTGCTTCATAGTTTTCAGCTTTCTTGTTACACTCAGTGCTTCCCAGTCCCCTTGGTGAGAAGCAGCAGGAAATGCAGGAGGTTGGGCTGGGTGTATAACTATGCTTTCCTGATTATAATTTGGGAGTCCCAGACAGCTTTCCCTCCGGAGCCCAGGACATTCTCTGAGTGCTCTTCCTCTGGTGCCTATGATCTGAGCACACTGCCTACAAACTCTTGTGCCTTCAGCCATGGCTTTGGTTTGCTTAGAAATTAGGCCTTTTGTGCAAGTCAAATATGCAGAGAAGCATGGAGTGGTCTCAGGCAATTGTATTCCTCAAAGGACAGAGAAGATATGTCAGCTCTGAGCCTCCCCCAAATGACATGATAAGCACAAGCACACCTTGACCACAAAGCATTTCTAGTGCTGTCATATGCAGCATTAAAAGGAAAGTGATTGCTTTGTGACTGGGGTTTTTTTTTAACACAGACCCCTAGCAGTGCTGTGTATGCAAAATAACACAGCACACAGTGGAATTGGAGTGTAGTGGAGAGACAGATGGCAATTTATTGACATAACAACTCCAGTCATGCTGCCAGGAAGCAAAAAGGACTATTGGACAATACCTAGACTTCATGGGAACTGGGATTCATGTTTTTAAATTCTTGGTGGACTTCAGGGCTCAGAAGCAGCAGGCAGTGTTTCCCCTCATGGCTGCTCTTCCCTCATCCCGTGTGACACCCTCCATCCTGCCTTTTTCAGAATTGCTCCCCATGAGGGCTGCAGCAGCCACATTCACCATGCCAGTGCCTTTACAGCAAGTCCTGCTGACCCAGACCAGCAATACACAGGCACAGTTCTGGGCCCAGCCATTGATGCAGGGGTATAGATTTTATTCAACTTTGCTGAATCTGTCCTTCTACCTCTCATTTTAGCCTCTAAGGAGGAAGTTTTCTCTTTCATAAACCAAATAACTCTATCCCTTCTACAGTATTTGGCTGTGATACTATTTTTTCATTCAGGACACAAACACCTTAAAATGCCTCTGGACTTTCACCAAATAACATTTTTGCCTTTTTCTTTAAAAATTACTGGGCTCCAAGCACAATGCCATTGCTTTACATTTGCAGTATAGCAACCAGAATCATCTGCTTGCAGAAAAATAAAATAAGAACAGAATTAGAACCAACTTTAAGATCCCAAACCTAGTTTTCAACAGATGTCTGTCTTCCGTAAGACAGATAGACACCACTTTGTATCCATAGTGACACCTAATGGCCCAAATTAAAACGAGTCAAATAGTTCTGTAGCACAGTAGAGGACATTAGGTGGACACTGTGCCTTGAAAAACTCTTAGGAATAGTTTCAGGAAGTCACCATTTCAGCCTTGATTTTCTCCATTTCTTTGCTATAAAATAATCATCAAGCCAAAGAATGTTTAAACAATAGAATAGCTGGGGTGGGGTTTTTTTCATGTTATGTAATAAATACTTCCATAATAAACATTGATAGTTTTATTGTCGTTGTACTTAGGAAGTGCAGAGTTACAGATATGCTGATTTCAGTTTAAGAACAGTTTTAAAACTGTTTAATAACCTTACACAGTCAGCTACAATATTTTTTTTTTAGTTGCTGCAAAATTCTGTTGGCTGTTTTTTGGCTACAAGGGAAGCAGAACATGATGTACAGAGTAAACCTTGAAATGACATATCTCTTGAAAACCTTTCTTGCTTCAATACTTGTGTTAACTGTAGCTACTCCTTTAGGACTGTCTTGGGAAGACCAGTATTTGCAGTTCTCCCATAGACTTCATATGAGCTATGAAAATGTGTTTCCCTGCTGCCATCATCATCATTTCAAGTTATATTTAATGATGACTTTGCAAATGGTTGAGGCAGCTCCAAAATCTGCCTTGTATGTGTCTCCTTTTTTAAGCACTTGTTAAGTATTGATACTGTAAATTGCAGTTCTGCATGTGTATCCCAGCAAAAGGAAGTTTGCTTAACTCAGCAATTAACATTAATAATCTTTTCAGTTGGATAAACTGTAACCTAAAGAACTGTGGCATAGGAAATAACATGTCCTAGAGGATTATTACATCAAGAAGCAATAAGAAATATTTCCTCCTATGATTCTTGTGGGTAATAGAGAGATTAAGCAGTCTACCTTTTAAGACACTCTTCTCATGTTTTTGAAGTTATATCTCTTAGGCATCACCTCGATATATTTACTGAGGAAATCTTTTAAAACTTTGTAGGAATACAATAGCAAATCCAAAAAATTTAGTTATTGATGTGTCATATGGACATAAGCTCAAGGTAAGAATAGGAGCTATAGGGTTTACCTTGCTTAAGCTCAAAATTAAAAAAATAAATAAAAATCTTAAGCTCTTTAGTGGCTATATGGGTACATTCTGGTTTTGAAAATAGGATCTGAATCCTATTGTAACCCCCTTCTGTCAATAATCACTACCCACTATATCATACGTTTCAGGTTGTGTGGTGCAGTAACACAGAATAGGTAATGACAATGACAAGTTTATTTTGCAATGCTTTTATTAGAATAAATAGAAGGACCACCAACTAACATTCACAAAATCAATGGCATGTCACTGCAATGAAGATGGGAAATTACATCAGTCAGGAAGTTGTTGTATTTGGAAATGATAATTTATGAAGAAGTGGTGAAATTTCTAGATGCTCCCTCAGAACAAGAAACACAGAGAGACACAGCCTTATATTAACATGCAGCACAAAGAAGCCCAAATGCATATGATTCCTGGAAGAAGAATGCGTTGCTAAAGTATAGAATTTTGCCTGCAAGTTGTCCAGGCAACAACACAATGGTGGCTGTCCAGAAAGGAATTGGATTATTCTGAAAGCTGTATTTCATTCGCTAACCTCTCCAATAGAGAAACCAGACTGTCAATAGCAGTGGTAGGATTTCTTGCAAAAAATCAAAACACTAGCCTGTCCCTCAAGTTACTCAGTGATAATGGGAGATATTCCTAAGCTACCTCCTGAAATTCTCATTCAATCTTAGATGTAAGTCCTGAATACAAGTGGTGTGAGCAGAAATACCTGCACCTAAACATCTGAAAAGTCATACACTTCTTCAAGGATATCTCACTGGATATTGAAAGCTTTCCACTTGGAGAAAATTTTGAAGAGATGAGATTATACTACAATACTACAGTAAAGGGGATCTGTTTCTGAGGGGAAGGCAAGCTTTATTTCCAGCTCTTTTTCTTCTTAGGGAGAACAATATTTACCAAAAAAGAGGATAATGTTGGTTGGATTGTGTTTGATGAAGAAAAGGAAAGGGTGGTCAGCCCTAAACTCTTCAAACTCAGATTGTTTGATGTCTCCCAACGCATCTGCTGAGCCAGCCATCTCAGTGCCCTCTTCATTGACTTCCATGAATGCCTTATGGATGGCCTCAGATATCTTCAGGCTCTCTGCCGAAGAGATGCCAGACAGGTCGGCTGAAGAGCTGAACAGGTCGGTCATACCCAAGGCCTTTAAGACAGCTGTGAGGTTGTATTTTTCCTCCATCTTCATGCGCGGGAGGTACACTTTCACCCTCTTCTTTTCCATCACGCTGGGGCTGGTCCACTCAGTAAATTTATCAAAGTTGATTTTTTTCTCAAGCTGCAAAGAGAGGCAGGAATAAAATGCCTGAGATAAAAGTGCACCTTAACAGCTGTGTTTATACCACTTGCTGCTACGGTTTTAATTTATTTTATATACACAATAGAACTGATGCTTGTCTTAAATGTATTTGGTTATCTTGTATGCTTACTCCTGACTATGGCCTATATATCGTCTGTCTTATTAAAGTTCTCCGAAACACTGTCATCTGAAAATTTCTTTATCAGATCAAGGGGGTTTTGTGGGTTTTGGTTGTGAAAATACAGTTCTTCAAAACTTCAAGTCAAATTGGTTCCACTACTGCTCCTCCTGGAACATATTTTATTGATCACTTCCCTCATCTTAGTTCCTTTCTAGTACTGCTTTTCCCACATTCCTTTTAGTCAGCTCCTGGACTGTTTTCCTCATCACTTCCATTTTTTAGTTCCCCTTTTTTGCTTAGCAAACCCTTGAGTGCTTTCCTGGAAGATTGAAATCACTCAAGATTTAAAAAAATCTTGCTATCAGGTCTGTTTCTGGTACCTGAGGGAGATCAGTGCATATAACAACTAATTCAGGGCTACAATAGCACTACTCTCCTTTACTTCTGTTTTATTAGGCTGAGTCCAGTGCTCTCCTAAGAGCCCAGTATCTGCCTGAGCACTTGGTAGCACTTGGGGGGCTTTTGTGCTCCCACACCTGCCCAGCACAGCCATGAGGTGGGCAGCTGGGATGTAAATGGACAGCAGAAGGTCTGGTGACAACCAGGTCCCACTGAACTGGTACCTCTTCTGCTTCCCCTGTCAAGGCCATACCTGCTCCAGACCAGAGACTTCATCAGGCAACAGCACCCACATGCTCAGCGTTCCGCTGGCATAGGGCAGCTCCAGGATCTTAATTTTCTCTGAAGGCACCGCTCCCACTTTGAAGGTACTGTTCTGACACATCATTTGCACAGGTCTGCTTTCTTGCTGCAGAAACAGAAACATGAGATAATGCGACTGCGGAGTGATTTTTTCTTTAAGTAGGTACATGTACAAGCCCTTTGAAAGGGACAGGACTCGCTTTTGAAGCATGCTGCCTTTGGAAAAGAGTTGTGTCTCCTTTTTCCTCTCTTACTTGCTGGTGTGCCCTGGAAGCCTGGTCATAGATAGCTCATGCAAATACTTCATGGCCTTAGGCCCAGGCCCCGGTAGTGAGGGACCTAGCTAAATCACCCAACCTGTGACAGCAACAGGTTATATGTGTAGCAGGTTGGCTGTGCAAGCCAATAGCTGTCCTGGCCAGAATATGTGTCCATGCCCTCCTACCTCTGTCACATTGAAGGGCACTTCCCGAGTGTGTTCTTCTTTAAATGCTGTCTTCCATATCCCTTTGAAGTAAATGGCATTCACAAGGACCAGTGCAGTATCTGGATCAACGGAGCCTGCCACAAGAAAATCTTGGATCTGTCCTTTAAGAAAGAGTCAGGGCAGAGAGTGGTAAGTTACACCTGGTGTGCACAAATGCCTGCAATGAAGGGCATGGGGATGGAGGGTGACACTTTGTGGAGCTTTATTTTCATAGCAATAAACAACCTGCTTTTGCTTGAACTTTTTTTCCTAGACATTATGAGGAGAGGAAGACAAGGGTATAGACTACGGTAGGTGGGGGGAAATATCTGCTACCCATATTTCAGTTCTTACCATTTGTCTCTTTCTCCACCCAGGAATTAATGAGCTGTCTTGCTTCCTCTGCAGCTGTTTTGAAGTCAACTTCTTCCAGCCCTGCTTCATAGAATTTTTTTGCACAGTTTAAGTATTCCTGTAAGCAGAAGGATTCAGTTGTCAGACAGATGAGGACTTGAAAATGTATGAATGTGAAATACAAGACTGTGAAATGAAGCAGAATGGTTAAAACAGTGGACCTACACCCCTGTGTTTGAACATGTCAGTCACAGCTGTCTTCCTGTAACTGAATCTTAAGGCTAGGTAAGAAAGACGACTTCAAATACTTAGATCTAGCACTTTCCTTTTTCAGATAGGATTTTAAGTTAAAAGTTTGAAATATTTTCAAGAACTATAACATGTTCAGTTTAACAAACATTTTTAAGACAAACAATGTATGTTTCCTTCTCTTTGTGCCTGCTTTTTATTTTGAATGCTGTCTTCTTACATTCTTAGATTTCAAAACCAAAGCTTCCTTTCACTGGGAAGTTTTGATATTTGGCTTTGGGGAAGAAAAAAAAAAAGCAAATGTGACAATTTTAGTCTTCATGCCTTCAAGTCATAAAATATTTTTCATTTCCCTTTAAAGTTACATTTTTCATTAAAAGCCATTTTCTAGGAAACAAACAGCAATCTTGATTACTCCCTGTGACTGTTGCAATATGGGCATATTTTATGCTATTATACTTTTTCCTGGCCTCCATCTAACAGGCACAGGAAGGTTCAAACTCATTCTGAGCAAGTTCCCCTCATGGCTCACAACCACTTCCTCATCAACAGACAGTTGATTGTTGTCAGGGTTGTTGTCAGTGGTGCTTCTGCAGGGTGGAGTCACAGGGCCTTTATGGGAAATCCTGTGGAAATCAGGTCCCAGTACAACTCACCGGAAGGATGGGGTATGTTTTTTCAATATAGAGCTTGTCAGCCATCTTCAGTGAGTATGTAGCATTTGGCATGGTGATGTCTGAGAGGCGATCCTTGAATGCACTGTGGATGTATTCAGAAGTGCCACACTGAGGTGATGACATGAAAATAAGAAGATATATTGCATTAGCTTCTTCTTATAGTATCATAGAATCATAGACTTGTTAGGGTTGGAAAAGACCTTAAGATCATCTAGTTTCAATGTTCCCTGCTATGAAATAAGACCCTAAAGGCTTGTCCCTATCAGTTAAAAGTCATGCTGCAGTGGAGTCCTCCCCCACAGACATAGGGCTGTCACCTTTGGGACAGCAGGTGCTGTGCTGGTGTATTGAACTGACAAGTTCATCCTCCTCAAGATAAGTCCCCTGAAATGTGCATTTTATAAGACTGCAATTGTGTTCCTGTCACTGACTCTTATGGGCTTTTCTCTGTCCTGCATCTTCCTGCCCTGCTTTGGAGTCTTTCAGCTGCAAGTCTGACTTCCCTATGCTGGCTCCAGGTACTGAGTCCCTTTCAAATGCTGTCCCTCAGCAACATTTGCCCAGGAAGGCACCCTGGTGCCCAAAGTATCCTGCCCTACACTGTCACTTGTTCTGGTGCAAGATGTGCAACTTGGCTTCTTCCCTGTTTTTTGACAAATAGGTGAGTTACACCTTTCTTTGCTCCCTCCCTCCACAGCTCTCCTTGGTTTGAGAGTATTACCATAGTTTTTGACAGGGTCTGAAACTGCCAGAAGGAAAGACAGAACAGTTCTAGTTTTGTTCTGTGGAGAAAATAAGACAGAAAGGGATATCAGGTTATTTCTCTACCTCAGAGTCAATAGCATCTCCAACTCCTGTAATGTTATCAAAGTGAAGAACCTGCAAGAGAAAATGACAGTGGTAGAAATAACAAGCATGACCAAGAATTATGTGATCACATTATCTGGAAGATGTTAGAATTTAGAAAAAAGTCATATAGTAATATTTGCTGACTGCTAATCCATTTTGTTACTGTTCTTGAGATTTCTTTTCCTGTGTCGAAACTAACTGCCCCTTATAGTGACAATATGCAACTTTCCTTAGTATTTTCTCTAAATAACTCTCAATCCAGTTCTCTATTTTGTGACTATGGCTTACTCTTGTATATTAAAATAGGTGAGAAGCTCATCAGTGGTTAATATATTTCAGTGATATTACTTAGAAGGAACAACAAGCACAAGCAGAGGTCACTTTACACCCATGTTAAGTAACTTACCTTCTCCATCTGAGATTGGGTGTTACCTCTTGCTCCCAGATAGACCATGGCCAGGGCTGAAATGATGCTCAGGGGGGAGTAGAAGATGTTGTCGTTGGCATGGTGGACTTTCAGCTCTTTGAATACATCAAAAGCAAATTCTGCATTTGCTTCACTGATGGAGCCCATTGTTAAATTTGTCTAAAGCAAACAGAAAGAATCTGACTTATTATGTTGAAATAATTAGTACATTAATGTATTGAGTTAATACGTTAATTCAATAATTAATTCAGTTAATTGTTAATTCAATTAATAATGAAATACATTAATTCAAAGCCCCTTGAATTAATTCAGGGGTTCAGGTGTTCAGAGGTACACTTGAACCCCTGAACTTGGTGCACAAGTTTTTTTTCCAACAGACAGAATCCAGTGGCATGGATTTAAAAGGCAGGCATGCTTTTAGATTCATGAGCAATGAAAATGCTGGGTAGGTACCAGTCATGCATAGGTTGGTGACTCTCTTCTTTGAACCTTGATTTCTCCTTCCCTGTATATATACACCATATTGTTGAAAATGTTGCAAAGAATATTAGTTATCTTGATAGAAGCATACTAACAGTCTTTTCTTATCTCTTACGAAAAGAACCCCAAAAAACATAGATTTTTTTTTTGAGACTCCAAACCAGGCTCTTCATTATCATTATTAACATCACTTTTAAGATCAGTAAAGAGATGAACAGATCAGCCCTCTATGATTCAAACTGCTGTTAATTCCAGTATACAATGTACATGTGTGAAGCAACAGCGTAAGTTTTTCTAGATTTACTCTAATTTCAGCCTAGTGTAAACAGAAGCTGGATTTTACACCATCTACTTTATCAGAGGCCCCAAAAGTTAGCAACATTACTTTTATTATTTTAAACAGGATTATAAAGGCATATCATTTACATCTGACTGTTTTAAAAGTGTTCTTTTTCTTTTTATCACTTTTTCCATAAAATACACCCTTCAATAAAACAGTGGTTTTTTAGCCTTTTGTTTAATTTGCAGAGATCTTCACATCTCCTGTATTTAAATATTTTTCTGCCCTTTTTCTGACATGTTTGTAAAGTTTTCCCTGTAGTTGCAGCACCTAGCATTTCGTATAACACTGGAGGAAAATATTTTTTAATAAAGGAGACAACACAGAAGAGAAAATACGGTTTGTGAAATCTAGTGCAACAGTATAACTTTTATACCACTTATAATTTCCCACCTGTTGACACAAACAGAGAGAACCTTGCTAGGGTTGTGGGGTTTTTTCATCTTAGAAAATGTGACTTAAAGGTAACACAGAGATGCAGTATACTGGGGTCACCTGAGCATGCTGCATTCCTTAATTTCATTCAGAGAATATCTTTCACAAAACCTGCAAGTGAGCTTTAGTTGCATCCTCTGGAATTTAAGCAAATTCAATTTTGTCTTTTAATGCTAAGTGAAATATTAAAGAGATAAAGGAAAAAGGAAGAAAGGCTGTCATAGCATATAATCAGCTTTCAATGTGAAACAGTTATTAAACAAAACTTTTGTTCATACAAACAAATACTTCGACTTTTATGCATGGTAGAATATGAAACAGTAAAGTAACGCAGAACGCATGTGAAGGTGAGGTGAGGTTTCAGCAGAAGGCATCCTTTGATCATTTGTTTCTTCAGCTAACATTGAAAGTCATAAACATGAGGTTACATCAATCTTTTTGCAAGTTTTGTTACAGACAATTTTTCTTAAATTGCAGATTAGAACTTAAATCATCATCAAAAGTAATGCTTACCTTTTCAGCTTCACCTGCAAAGGTAATAGTACAGCTTCTCAGCTGTACTTGGGGCAGACTTGCCGAACTCCTGGAAATATATGTGTAATTTTGTGACACGCCCCACGCTGCCTGTTCTGTGTTTAACAAATAAAATGATGGATGGAGCTCAATGTCAGGCATGCACTTTAACTTGGAATAAGTCCATTCTTTAAAAAAAAAAAAAAAAAAGCCTGAATCCCCGAATGAAAGGTTTTTCCCCTGAAATCCCTAACATGTCCAGAATGGGAGATTTATTCATATAGCACATGAAACCTTAAGGAAGTGAAGGAGAATATTGAAATAGCTGAAGCAAAAGTAGTGTAAAAGCCATTCATTGGAACTTGAATTGTAAGTATGATTTGATAAGGCCAGCAAATAGTGTGGCATAGCTCGCAGAAATAAAACAAAAAAAGTGAGAAATTCAGCCTTGCAGAATGTCTCTAAGGAATTTTGAGTTTATTTCTTTGTTATTCCTCTGTAATGACTACTGACAGGCCAGTTACCTCTCAGAGTCTTCATTCTATTAACTCAAAAAATTTATTAAGATCAGCCTGTGCAGGACTGCTTGCTATGGTATTGCCTGCACTATACTTATTGCAATTTTTTCTCTCCCATTGCTGACTGGACTACCAACATCACTAGTCTTTTCAGAATCCATTGCTCTTGCTGAGGAATGGGGAAACTTCTGCTACCAAGGAACTTGAGAAAGAGCACATCCTTCAAATGTTAGTTGCCAAATTTAACAATATTGAAAAAGATTATTCTGCAAAAACATGTATATAATTGCCTGGCGCCACTTACAGACTGCGTTGTAAAAGACCTCAGTTTCACAGTTCATCCTAAAGCAGTCTAACTCAGAGAACTCAGACATAGTCACAGTCTGTGCAACACATCAGTGGAACAAAACCTTCAGTGAGCGTATTGTGGGAATGAAAATTAATTTCAAAAGTAATATTCAAAGCATCTGTATAGAGAACTATTACACAGCTGAGGAAAGATGTGCTGGGGAAAGAAGGGTTGAGATTGTTGCTTTTCAAATTCAGGCATCAGGATATTTAGACACCAGTCAGATGCTACCATAGAATCATAGAATGATTAGGATTGGAAGGAACCTTAAAGCTCAACTAGTTCCAAACCCCCTGACAATGGGCAGGGACACCTTCCACTAGACCAGGTTGCTCGAAGCCCCGTCCAACCTGGCTTTGAACACTTCCAGGGATGGGGCATCCACAATTGCTCTGTGCAGCCTGTGCTAGTACCTCATCACCCTAACAGTAAAGAATGTCTTCTGAAATCCATCTGATCTAAAGCTCCCCCTTTTTAGCTTAAAGCCCCTTGTCCTGTCACTACATGCCCTTGTAAAAAGTCCCTCTCCATCATTCCTGCAGGCCTCTTTAGTCACTGGAAGGCTGCTACAAGGTCTCTCCGGAGCCTTCTCCAGGTGGAACAACCAGAAAAGTATTCAAACTCACTGCTAAAACTTTGAGGAATAGTTAAGGTGAGTTTGTTCTTTACCTTTTTCACAGGTCACAGCACCAGATGCTAGGTTCAAAATGTGCCTTTTGCGCATATAAAGACCATTCTTCAGATCTTCCGTAAGTAACTTCATGGCACATCAGGTGAACAAACCAGCTGAAAAAACATTCATGGTCTGCAGGACAGTCATAATATACAATAGCAAGCAGAAAACAATCACATAATTCCCTTGAAATGAAAGAATGAACAGACAGTAAAAGAAACGGCTTTGACCTCTTTCTGAATGCCATGTGATTTTAAAACAGAAATCCAAAGTCAATACACAAAATGCCTCTGAAATTGTTTAGAACAAATTATGCTCCTGTGAAAAAAAGAGGTGGACTCTTTAACCCTTTTAGTTGTCTATACAAGTGGAAAGCCTCTGAACTGTCCATGCCTTTCTCCCTAAGACAGTCCTTGTTAGTCCTGTTAAGCTGAAGATGCTAGTGCAACAGTGAAGACCTCTGTCTGGACTGGTGCACTTACCTACCACTGGCATTTTACATGGCACAGCGACACACACACAGGCTTGTCTGCTACAGCCATTGCTATACAGCAAGAGTGCTTTTGAGGAAAGATGTTTAGCCCTTGACACACGTTGTTCACCCGTTACTGCAAACCTGTTGTGAAGAGAGTAAGCTATTCCCTCACAGGAGTGGTGCATAAATGGTACACCACCAATGTTTTAAGTCCTGTTCAGCTGAAAATGGTATCACCATGATGGCAGAAAGACAGATCAAATAGGTGAATGTGTCTGTACATGCTGAGTACCTTTAATCACACAACTGGGAGCACTCTCTAAACTGCAAGCTGTTCCTGTGGCTGCTGCCACTTCCGCCTGTTCTGCTTAAGACTGCTTTGTTTCTGTTCAAACAGGCTTTAACACTCACGGCCGTGGTCCATTGTTATATACTTTACAGCTCAGAAGTCAGATTAACCAATATGTTCTACCCTGTCAGTTCTAACTTTCCAGTATGACTTGAATCTTTTTTCTTGACAACCAAATTGTCTAGCAGTACATTTGGTCACCTTGGCATTTATGCATCATCTACCTGAATCACATTTGGATCATCCTAGTCAGCTTGTAACTTAGAAGCTACAAAGATATCCAGTGAGCCAGTCAGTTGTTTCACAGCAGCCAATTTACAGTATTAATATTTTTGGCAAAGACATGTTTTTAAAAATAATTCTTCATTGAATATATTCGTAGCAGCCTTCCAATATCTGAAGGGGGCCTACAAGGATGCTGGGGAGGGCCTCCTCATTAGGGACTCTAGTGGTAGGACAAGGGGGAATGGCTTCAAACTTAAACAGAGGAAGTTTAGATTAGATATAAGGAAGTTCTTTCCAGTGAGGGTGGTGAGGCACTGGAATGGGTTGCCCAAGGAAGTTGTGAATGCTCCATCCCTGATGGTGTTCAAGGCCAGGCTGGACAGAGCCTTGGGCGACATAGTTTAGTGTGTGGTGTTCCTGCTCATGGCAAGGTGGGGGTTGGAACTAGATGATCTTAAGGTCCTTTCCAACCCAAACCATTCTATGATTCTATGATTAATGACAGCTGGAGCACTGCAACATCTTTCTTAAGGGTTAAAGAGGGTGGTAGAGCACCTTGGGGGGAAAAGGTGATGCAGGAATCTTAGGAAGATTGAAGGAAGAGTGCTTATCAGTTATATCCATGCTGGCTTTGATGCTAAAATCTTCGTTTCTTCTAGGCCAGGTTGGATGGGACTTTGAGCAACCTCATCTAGTGGAAGGTGCCTCTGACCTTGACAGGGGGGTTGGAACTAGATGATATTTAAGGTTCCTTCCAACCCAAACCATTGTGTGGTTCTATGATTCTGTGAAAGGAATTTTTTTGTTCTGCAGTACAGAAGGGGCAGTACACTCCTCTAGAAGCATGACAATACACAACCCAGGTTACAGTTTTTGTTGGCATTTCTGTTTTTTATTGGTCAAATGAATGGATTGCCCTTTCCAGCACACCTGTGTAATGCTCACAAACACAAAAGGATGTGTTTTGCCACATGTCATTTCAACAATGCTTGTCCCAAGAAAGAGGTCAGCTAAGGCTCTGCTGTCCTTTGCTCTACAGGCATTTCATTGTGGAGCTGTCTCTAAACCAACACACTCTTGGACATTTGAGCCTTTCCAAAAGGATATGAAGCCCAGGTCAGCTCACAGACCAAAGCACAATCCAATCACAAGAACCCCCATGGAACTCAAGAGTTGAGTTCCCCTCCACTCTGCTGCTCTTTTGCCAGTAGGAAGGAGCATGTTGTTTCGTGTTTTTCTGGCTCAGAGTGACTGCCTGTGACTAGTTAGTTGCCACTGCAGACCTTGGTGCTGTAGCTATCGGTGATGGTTTCTCTCTCAGTTGTCCTGTAGGACTGTGTTCTTTCCCCAGACTGAAGAAAATGAGGTGTCTGGTCAAGCTTCTTCAGACAGGAGCTTGTAGCCCACCTGGCACCTTTCTGCAGCAGCGCTGTATCATTCTGAAGAGATGGACACTGTTGCCTGCAGTGCTGCTGCCCTGATATCTCACGGACTGTGACAGGGATGTGCATACTTCAGTCTTGACAGAGTGGATTTCTCCAGTGAAGTTATCTTCAGAAGGATCTTATGATGGTCTTGGTCACAATCCTCTCACACTTACTGTGTTTATTTAGCAGCACACACAGCGCCCAGGGCTTCCTGCTATACAGTTTCTGAACAAGTGCGCACAGCAGTCTCTTCATCAGTCATCACAGTGTATGTGAAGTCCCTTATTCATCCCTCAAGTCCCTGAGATCAGCCAAGAGCCAGGGTGAGGCTGCGGATGGTCTTACCTCACTGGGTCCAAAGGAGGCAGCATGGTAACCAGGCCCTTAGACTTCAGCATACACGTGGCCACTGGCATTTGCACAACTAGTTTATTGTCTGTGTCGTATGGGAGCTTAGTTACCAGGGTCACTCCCCACAGAGAAGACTGCTCATGACAGTCTATGACTAGCAGTGCTCATGCCAACAGCATCATGGGCTGTGTAAGAAAAAGCATTGCCAGCAGGTAAAGGGAGGTTTTCCTGCCCCTCTCAGCACTGGTGGGACCACAGCTGGAGTGCTGTGTACAGCTCTAGGCTTTCCAGTACAAAAGACGTGGATGTACTGGAGCAGGACCAGAGAAGAGCCACAAAGATGATGACGTGATTGAAGCATCTGTCAGGAGAGGCTCAGAGAGATGGGACTTGTTACACTGGAGAGGAGAAAGTACAGGGGGGTCTTATCCAGGTGCATAACTTATTTGATGGGAAGGTGAAAAGAAGATGGAGCTAGACTTTCTCCAGTGCTTTAGGCAAGAGGGAATGGACACAACTTGAAGTAGCATAAATTCCACTTAAACATAAGAAAGTACATTTGTTTATGGGGAGGGAGGTAAAGCCAGGTTGCCCAAAGAGGCTGTGGAGTCTCCATCCTTGGAAATATTCAAAACCCAGCAGGGTTGCTGTAGCTGACTCTGCTTGAAGGGGGGATCTTGGTGTAGACAATTGGCAGAGGCACTTCCAGTCTCAGCTGTTCTGTGATTTTGTGTTACATGCAGAGGAAGATCTCCAGGAAGATGGAGATAGCAGGGTTATTGCCCATTGATGTGCAAAGTACTGTGGTGCAGGTAAGGCACTTCGAATAGGAATGTATGGCAAGTCCCAGAGTACTGTTTCCATGTTGTACGGGGAGCAACATCACATACTGAACCCTGGACCTCTCTTTGTGCTTTCTGAAGGTGTGTTAGTTGCACCAAAAAGTGCAGAAGGTTTCAGTCTTTTTCTTGCCCCCTCCCCTGCCAAGACTTCCCTCTGGTGGTGCACAGTAATCTGTCAAAGGGTTTCAATGCTTCAGAAAACAAAAATGTCAGAAGCCTTTGGAAGGCCAGTAGCAACAAGGAGGTTTTAAAGGTTTATTTATTTTTGTCTTTTTTTCAAATAAAAACTTTTGGAGCATTTTAACACTGTTAAAATTTTGGCCTTTTTTTTTTTTTTTTCTCCCCAGAGCAAATACTCTGTATTAAAGCTGCCCATTGGCATGAGAACCAGAACCATGCCTGGGAAATGAAACCTGTCAGGTGAAAGCACAGATGTGCTCAGGCAGGACATGGGGTCCAGCCGGAACACCTGAACCTTTCTACTGAATTGTTGGTTGATGGGTGAGAGCACAGAGAGTCTGAACCACAGACCCCATCTCTCCGGGGCACAGGAAGGGCTGCTTGTCCCAAATCTCCCCAGGGTTCTGGAGTGCTCAGTGGCCGCACCAGGCATTCATCATCCCACTGGCCAGCTCTGCCACTCCCTTCCTGGGGAATACTTTTCTACTACCCTTTTAATACTGTGCCTCCTACCTGGTTTGTGGTGACCAGGTCCAGGTCCTAGCCGTTGGCACTTTGTTACAGGTTTGGTTCAGTATTGCTGAATTTGCACTTTTTGCTGCATCCTGTTTCCCCTTTTTAGAAAGAGGAAACATTGTACTTGCAAGCTTTGTGGCTCCTTTGCTTTTTTCCCATTCCTTCATTTTGACCTTTGTTGTTCAGGAAACAACGCTGATCACTGAGGCATATCTTTGTGCTTTAAGCACTTTCCAGTTTAATAATCATAGGAAGGTTAGTTTGCAAACGTAACCCTTTTCAAGTCTTCTTATTGTTTAAGTGCACAGGCTTTTAAGTTTAAAGGACTGGATTAACTGCTTCTGGCTACAAGAGATGCTAGGGGAGAATAAACTGCTTATGATAAACCTTGAGATGTTGAAATTTTGTATCTCTTGGAACTGTTCATATCATTCCTTTCATTTCTAAAGAACAAAAATTAAAGTATACTTGGTAAAATAGCTGGTTTTATCATTGAAAAACAGCTGAATCAGTATCACAAATATCCTGATGATATTCATATAATGTGGATGTCTGACCTGTAGCAGCAGCTGCTTCCCTTTACAGATGTGCTTTTGTCACACCACACTATGTGTTAACGTGGAAATAGCAGATGTTAACAAGAGTTCCTCCTCTTAAGACTCTCAAGGGGAAAATGCTTTGCCTAATAGTTGCCAATCTACTTATTATTTCTTGTGCCTTTTCAGTTATGTGATTTTCAGATAACTTCATCATCTAAAATGGCAGAGCTGCTGGTATAGTTGTTCTTTGAAATATTTACCAGTGTAATTGTCAGTGCATTTTTAATACCCCTTGGAATTGTATTGAAAAATACAGAAGAATAAACTTGTATTCTATTGGGCTATTTCTTTGTAATTTGTAATACAGAGAGGAATCAAATTCCAGGTATGTGTATTTATGCATTTTGCAACTGCCTAGGAAGCTCCATATTTACATGCTTTATTCAGTCTAAAAGTAGGATTTTGTACTGAACCCCATTTTACTCCCAACAGTTACTGATGCAATGATATTTTTAAGGGTTTGTGGACCAGAAAATTAATACAATTTCATGACAAGCATTTGTGATTTTATTTTTTTATGTTAACAAAAAAAAAAATCAATTGTATGCGTCAAAATTGGTAATGTATGATTATAATGAAAACAGAACATAGCATTGAGCCAATATATCCATATTTGCAGATGGCAATGGACACATAGGAAAGAAAAGGCAGAGAATATTAGGATGCTCATGTATTTCTTAAAAACAAGAGATGTAGCCTTGAACTATCACAGGAACAAAGAAACCCAGCTGCATTCATAGAAGAATTATGTGCTTGAAACTTGAACTCCACCTGAGGACTTTCCCGTGACTAATTGAAGTTTACTTGCTAGGCAAGCTCAACAGAGACAGGGATAATTTTGAAAGCTGTGTTTTTTCACAGAATTCCTGTGGAGAAATCAAATTCTTTAATACCACTTCCAGGATTTTTCACAAAAATCAAACTGTGCTCAAATTGGACATGTCTTCCAATGTTTACAACAAGAATTCAGACAGCTTTTTTGCCTTACAGTTCTCGCTGAGTTCTGGATCATATGGGTCATCCATATACCCATGTTTCAGGCTTTGAAACTACACTCCGTGAGAAGGCATAATTGCACCTAAGATCTTTTTTTTTTCCTTTCTGAAGTGGAAAGGAGAATCTCCATGACTTTGGAGAACCTCTGAAATTCAGACTTAGGCGAGGAAGTCATGGTGAGAGGACAACTCTGGTGGCCGTGGACATGTACACCATTTTCCAACAGCTAAGTAAAAAACGTTTGAATGGTACACAGGGACCAGTCAACAACATGCATAGCAGAATCTTATTTACAAGCATCTACACCAGACTGGAGATCTCAAAGCCCATGTTTACTGAACAACATGGGTTTGTCAACAGAATGTGCTGGGGAGTGGGATGAGCACAACAACTTGTTCCTTGAATGAAAATCACTTGGCCCCTTCCCAGCTGTTGGGAGAATCTTGTCTCTGTTGGCTCAGTTTTTGTTCAGCTCAAGCAATCCTGGAACTAGCATGAGAAGGGAAAGGAGTAAACACACTTGCTTCTGTTTCCTCACCTGCAGGTATGTCTTTGCTGTGGAAACTTCCCAAATGGGCATTTCTTAGATTAGGCTTTCCATTTGAAGAAAATATTGAGAAAGATATGAGATTATACTACAGTAAAGGGGTTCTTTTTCTGAGTGGAAGGCAAGCTTTATTTTCAGCTCTTTCTTTCTTTAGGGAGAACAATATCTACCAAAGAAGAGGATGCTGTTGGTTGGATTATGTTTGATGAAGAAAAGGAAAGGGTGGTCAGCCCTAAACTCTTCAGACTCAGGGGAATATTTGACAACTCCAATCACACCTGCTGAGCCAGCCATCTCAGTGCCCTCTTCATTGACTTCCATGAATGCCTTATGGATGGCCTCAGATATCTTCAGGCTCTCTGCCGAAGAGATGCCAGACAGGTCGGCTGAAGAGCTGAACAGGTCGGTCATACCCAAGGCCTTTAAGACAGCTGTGAGGTTGTATTTTTCCTCCATCTTCATGCGCGGGAGGTACACTTTCACCCTCTTCTTTTCCATCACGCTGGGGCTGGTCCACTCTGTAAGTTTTTCAAAGCTGATTTTTTTCTCAAGCTGCAAAGAGAGTCAGGAAATGAAACACTTGAAATGTGAATGCAACAGTTTCTTACCATCGATTTTAATCAAGGCTATCATACAGAAAACAAGCAAAATTGTCTCATAAAGTGCATCCTATCAACATCCTTCTTGTAGTTTATTATTTTCTTCTTCAGTACTGCCTGTGTCACTGTCCTTTTATTCAGCTCCTTACCCACCTGACACATCCCCTTCTGTCCAACTAATCTTATGCCTCATGAGACACATCGCAACAGTTTAACATCCTAGCAAATTTTTTTCACTAGTTTTCATGCATATGGCTAACTCAACCTGACTTAAAGCAGTTTGATGTTTTCTTTTACTTTCTGTGCTGTTCTCATTTTCTATTCTTGTGTGATCATGAATTCTTTCTGATGTTGATGTTAGACGCAAGTCTCTTCTGTTTTCATCAAATCATAGAATGGTTTGGATTGGAAAGGACCTTAAGATCACCTAGTTCCAACCCCCCTGCCATGGGCAGGGACACCTCACACAAGACCATGTCGCCCAAGGCTCTGTCTAACCCGGCCTTGAACACTGCCTGGGATGGAGCATCTACCACTTCTTTGGGCAACCTGTTCCAGTGCCTCACCACTCTCATGGTAAAGAAATTCTTCCTGTATCTAATATATAATGTATCTCATATCATTATATCTATTTCTTTGTTTGATGTGTAATTTCCAAATACATTTTATGCCTTTCCTTCCCATCTTCGTATTCACAATTCTCTGAAGTCTTAACTGACGAAGTATTATTGATCAGTTAGTTTAGCTTGGTTTTGCCATTTCATAATCAAGAATATTTTATTTAGGTCATGCTTTATCTAATTTTGTTTTTCATTCCATGATGACATAAGCAGAGCAGTTTTTGAAAGCAACCTATTGATGATGTTTAATGAGGATTTTGCTGAAAAACAAAAGCAAAACAAATAAAAAAAACAACCCACCAGGGACTCCTACAAAGAACGTCTGTTTCTCAACAGTTTTAGCAACAGTTCCTCAACAGTTTCTTTGGGGGCGGAGATGGAATTACCTCTCAACAGAAAAACATGTAGTAGGGCTGTAGCAACACAATTCTCCTTTACTTTTGTTTTATTAGGCTGAGTCCAGTGCTCTCCTAAGAGCCCAGTATCTGCCTGAGCACTTGGTAGCACTTGGGGGGCTTTTGTGCTCCCACACCTGCCCAGCACAGCCATGAGGTGGGCAGCTGGGATGTAAATGGACAGCAGAAGGTCTGGTGACAACCAGGTCCCACTGAACTGGTACCTCTTCTGCTTCCCCTGTCAAGGCCATACCTGCTCCAGACCAGAGACTTCATCAGGCAACAGCACCCACATGCTCAGCGTTCCGCTGGCATAGGGCAGCTCCAGGATCTTAATTTTCTCTGAAGGCACCGCTCCCACTTTGAAGGTACTGTTCTGACACATCATTTGCACAGGTCTGCTTTCTTGCTGCAGAAACAGAAATGAGAGACAATGTGGCCAGGGAGTAATTTTTACTTTGAGCAGGAAAAAATACAAACTCTTTGAACGGGACAGGACTTGCTCTTGAAGCATGCTGCCTTTTAGAAAGACTCTGTCTCCATTTTCCTCTCTTACCTGCTGGTGTGCTCAGGTCAGACACGTACCTTGCAAACCTGACTGCAAGGAGCCGAGCCCAGCTAAATCTGCTGGCCACTGACCACATCATGTTGTATGTGTAACACTCAGCTGCTGCTGCTGCCTGTGCAAGCCCCCAACCTGGCTTGGTGGCCAGAAGATGTGCCCCCTACCTTTGTCATGCTGAAGGGAAATTCCCGAGTGTCTTCTTCTTTAAACGCCGTCTTCCATATCCCTTTGAAGTAAATGGCATTCACAAGGACCAACAGAGTATTTGGACCAACAGAGCGTGGCTCAAGAAAATCTTGGATCTGTCCTTTAAGGAAGAAGCAAGGCAGAGAAAGGTAAGTTTCACAGCAGCAGTCTTGCATTTTAGACATCAATCAACATGCTGCTTTTTGTCTTGACTTCCTCTTCTTAAAAGGTCTGCATGTGGAATTCAGGTTCATAAGGATGATTTAATGCAGAATAACTGACACCTGGCCAGATACTTCTGCAAAAAGACAGGTAGGATCAGGAGTGGTATACCTCTCCAGTGCTTAGAAAAAGATTTATATATAATAGAAGGAAAAGGCGAGGGAAGCAGCAGTATAGATTTTCTGTTTCTTGCTGTGCTTCTTTCTCACATTGTTTTTCCTCCAACCTCAGCCCAATAAATGTACATAGCTCATGAGTCATTCCTTTCCCACCATCAGCCTAGTGCATGCATTACTTTAATTGCCGGAAGCCCTCTTGTTACCCACCCAGCACATCCTTGTAAAATTATGCCAATGTTCTAGAGAAGTGGGGACTAGCCTTGCATGAGTTAAGCTCTCCAGACACAGAAAGTGTGCATATAAAGTGTGCACATCCTGGCATCTCTGCCTTTGCCACATATGTTTAAAACACTGTCACTGCCACACAGGTGCAATAGTCATCCATTTTCCACAGGAAATATCCACAAATGGGGATAGGATTGGAGGGTAAATCTTTCCTTTAATGTTTAGTGTTTCCAGAGGTTGTTCAAATACAGTTGTGAGAGGGAAGTATACTTCAAAATCTTATCTGACCTTACCGTTTGTCTGATTTTCCACCCAGGAATTAATGAGCTGTCTGGCTTGATCTGATGCTGTTTTGAAGTTGACCATTTCCAGACCTGCTCTGTACAGTTTCTTCACACATTTTAAGTAAATCTGTAAAGACAACAATTGTAGCCACCAATCTAGTCATTTTTTTTAAAATGAAGGTTATATAAAACATGGCTAAAAGGATTTTTGTAGTGATGCCATGGTTAGACAGTTCTCATTGCTTACTTCCTGGAAGAACCTGCTAAAACTGGGCCAGAAAAATTATTGTGATCCATGACATTTTCAGATCTGGCAATTTTATTACTTTACCAGTTAATATATATTAGAAATGTTTAAATGTTTTCTTGAAGAAAACCTGATCCAAAACCACTGTTTCAGATTCATATCAGAGTGTTTTATTATGATTATGTCCACTCTTTTTACTTTAAAGTGTTTTTCATTATTTTTAAAGATAGGAAGTTTCTTTGATCTGGAGAATTTGTATCCTTTGTTTTGAAAATGTCAAATGAAAGATTTTGACACTTTCAAAAGCTGGTTTTGAAGTGAGGTTTTCAATCGAAGAAATGTGCTGAAAATAACAAATTAACTATTAAAATAAGAGCAAGCAGGGGGAGAGGAATTACATTACCAAATAGTTTTGGCTTTTACTCTATTCTTTTTTTACTAGGGCCATCTTTTTGCCTGGAATTGCTATTGTCAGGGCTGTGACAAAGGGAAAATCCATGGAAGTCCACACCAGTGGATTAACAGATCATCTGCTCTAGCCAGTCCTCCTGAATTACAGGTTTACAGAGAGTTTAGCAAAAAATCACCATGATGTACAACTTACCGGTAGGATTGAAAATGTCTTTTCAGCATACAGTCTATTGGCAACGTGGAGTGAATAATTGGCTTTTGGTGCAGTGATATCAGAAAGAAGTTCTTTAAACAGTATGTGGATATTCACAGACTTGCCACACTGAGAGTTGTTGATGAGAAGATAAAAAGGTACAGCTGTTAGTTTATTTTACAAGGAAGAGAATTATTTATAAGGTACAAGTAACATGGGAAAATACACAGTGTTTGGACACCTGCAAATGAACATCTACTATAGTCTAATATCTCCTTGGGAGGGATGTTTGATATAAGCAACTAATGATGTACAATTAATTCATAGTATATGATGACATTCATTCTAGGTAATAACAAGCAGAAAACCTCAGTGATGAATCTGGAACTGTAGAAGTGAGGTGAGAAAAACAAAAATTTGGGTGTCAATGATTGCAATTGGCAAGTTGTCATAGATATAGAGCATCTAGCTCCAAGCTTCTGCTTGCATTTTCACAGCAGCTTTCTGCTGAAGCTGCAGATAGGATAAGAGTGCTAGATGACAAGGAAGTCAGGAAGTGTCTCATAATATAATGAAAAAATGGACCAACTGCCTAATGTTCCAGGTGACAGAGGCTGAGTGTGTAAGAAAAATGCACAATGATAAAAGTGGCTGGAACTTCATTTGATGAGAAGGAGAATTGTGCTGAACTGCTCATTTCTAAATGCTTAAGCAGACACTAAATGCTTTAGCTGATGCTACCTTTATCTTTCTTAATTATGAAAAAAAAAAAAAAGTGTTATAGCTCTTTGCAAGTCCCACTTTGTGCTTGTGGATCTCAAGTGTATGGGGACAGGCCAGGGAGCACAGCTGGTGGTGTCTTTACAGAGACAGCAGATTTACACTGAGAAAAGCACACAGGTGGCATCAATGTACTGGGACCTCTCATGGTGCTCTTGGGGTAGCAGTGAGAACTGGAGGCTGGAAAAGTTCCTGTAGCTTTTGAAGAATGTGGTTACTCTCCAGCTTTTGAGGTTTCTGGGCTTTTTTCTGACAAAGCATATTCCTGGCCCACTTTGGAGTCTCAGCTGCAAGTCTGAGTGCTATAACCTTGTTCCAGTTACTGAGCCCCTTTCAAATGCTGTCTCCTTGCAGGTGTGCATATGCTTGTCTATACACCAAGGTAGGATGGTGCCCAAAGCATCCTATCCTGTTCTGTCACTTGTTCTAGTGCTACATGTGCAGCCTCTTTTCTTTTTCTGTTTTTTGGCCGGTTGGTTGGTTTTGTTTTTAACCTCAGTGATGAATCTGAAACTGTAGGAGTGAGGTCTCTTAAATTAAGAGTGTTAGCAAAGGTTTGGGAAGGTGTTGAACCTACTTGAAGCACCATCAGAACAGTCTATTCTCAGGAGAAAAGTGTGAAGAGAAATAAATGTACCTTAGATTTCTGTACCTTGGTCTGAATAGCTCCTCCAAGTCCTGCAATTTTGTCAAAGTGAAGAACCTGCAATTGGAAGTAGCAATAGAAGAAATTCAGTATGTGAAGTCTACTGAAAGTCACTGATGTTTGTGCTGAAATGACAGGTTTGGTCTAAACAGGTCTGGTTAGCACATAGATGAATTGAGAAATTGCATGTGAGCTTTAAGTCTTTTTTTTTTTTTTTTTTTTACTGCATGTGCCACACTGAAAATTTGAGACTATGATGATTAGCTTAGATCCATTCTTTTCCAGTTAATCATGTTCAGTCTATAGAACAGTTGCAACTTTATTGTATTGTATTTATAACTGTGATTTTGTTCTCTGAATGCTTCCTCTTTTGTATATTACAAGTTGTCCTTTCCACCTTCAAGGAATCAGGTTTGTGAAATTATACAAGCTGAAGCAAGAGACTCTGCCTTAACCGTTCTTCAAGACTGCTCTTTCTTAATGTACTGCTCTTTCTTAAAGGCCATTCTTGGTTGCCATAGAGAAGAGCAATGATGGTAAATGAAAACTCAGCTCAAGATCCAAACTGTGCAGTTTGGAATGCCATTCTTTTTCTAGGCAGGTTTGAATCCATTTATGTAACTTACCTTCTCCATCTGATACTCAGTGTTACCTCTTGCTCCCAGGTAAACCATGGCCAGGGCTGCAATTATGCTCAGGGGGGAGTAGAAGATGTTGTCATTGGCATGGTGGACTTTCAGTTCTTTGAATACATCAAAAGCAAATTCTGCATTTGCTGCACTGATGGAGCCCATTGTTAAATTTGGTGCCGTCTAAAGTAAACAGAAATATGAGCATCTAATGGTTGTATGTAGCACTTGCTTTAAAAAGTACCATCAATAGCCCAGAAATTTCTAGTTTATTGCAGTTTTTGTGATACTGAACCAGTGGATGATATGAAGCCTATAAATTCTGCAATCATTAGGAATATTGCAACTCCTGACCCATTTATCTCTGAATGCATGTTTGTTTTCTTTCAGCAAGATACTACTTTATCATCAAGATAGTAGCTTATACTTGACTTCTAGGAAATAGATTGTTTCATCCATGCTCCAATGTGATAAATATAACACTGAATGGATGAGTATCCCTACGGCCGTCCAGAGGACTCTGAACAATGTTTGAGATCTTTAAATTAGATGTAGCCAACTCACTATACTCTTACTTCTCACTGTTGCTTAGTACAGTCAGCCAGAAATTTGGAGGTTGCTTGCCTGTGTTTTATAGGAATAACAGGAGTAAGTTTCTCTGTAAATCCAGCCAGTTGCTTAGATGCTGATCTATAGATTTGGGGGGGAGGTCTTTCCCGTAGTCCCATTTTGGATATTTAATCTCTGCTGATGCTTTTTGTTGAGAAAAAACATAAGCATATGTATCATAAATACATGTTTTGGCAACACAGCTTGAAACAGCATAGAGTTGCATTCGTTCAGTCAGATGAAAGTGCTGTACATGCAAAGGAATGTGACATGTTAAGGATATTCACTGAAACCTGCAGTCATTTTCTTTTAATCTGAGAAATTTGCATACTGTTCTTATATCTCTAAAACAGCTAAAGTTGGAGGAATAGCAGCATATATCCATAGTTTGAAGCAGATGTGGTTGATTTATGTGACCTGCGAAGCATCTGGTGCTAGTGACTGTGGAACCACAGACTCTGGGAATCACCATACTGTACCTCACCCGTGTTCTCCAGAGAGTGAGACTGAGAAAAGAAAAATGCCTTTATTCCCAAAATAATTATTAAAATTAAAAAAAAAACAGTTTTAATGTGAAACCAGATTTTCAATGAAAAAGAAGTATTTCTGCTCAAAGCTATGATGTACAAACACTCATATTTTGCACACCAGAAGTATTTGACAATCAAACAGTATAAGATATATTGATAAGGCAAGGTAAAATTATTGTATATGCTGTCTTTTTACATAGCTGTCTTATACTTACCTTAAAGTTCTTAAACATATCACCTTTTTTCCATATTAAAGAATACTAATTAGAAATTATATTTCACTTGGAGAAATACTTACCCCAGAAACTTCAAAGAGGCACATAAAAATCCAGCTTGTCAGCTGAACCTAAACAGATTCTTTGAGCTCTTGGTGATATATATTGTACCATTTGAGACACTCCCACTGTTAGCCTTCAAGAAGTCATCTTTTGAGTTACTACCTTTCGTCATGATCTTTTGATTCATTGCACTTTGAAACACTAAGTAGACCAATGTTAGACTTGTCCTCTATCTACAGCAGGTCAACCTTTATTTATTGAAGTAAAACCTAATTTAAAAAATTACTCATTTAAGCTTTTACTGTAACTTATAAGGCTGTACAAAAGCAACTGGAATTCAAATCTAAAACTATGTCTCATGCAGTTTTTTTGATTTTACAATTTACTGTGATTGGGCCATATTAGATATCTAGAGCCAAATGAGAAAAAAATGAACAAAACCGAAGAAAAATAGTGGTACAAATATATCCAGCAAAACATAGTACATTTTAAATGCACCTATCTGTAACACCGGATCAGGTGAATCTCACAGTCAAGTGAAGCTAAACATCCAAAAATGTTACAGGAAAATAAGACCTAGTCATAGTGCAGCAAGCTGGGGGTGAGGAAACAGTTCCCGTCACAGTCCACCACTAGTGAGCATCTGCAGATACAGCTGAGGAAAGAGACTTGCATTACCAGGAAGTGCAAAAAACTGCTAAAGCTAAGATATATATGCAACAACTCACCACAGAGTCTATGCAGTGGAACAGAGAGAAGTTCCTCATGGACAGTGACCATCTGATATTGCCAAAATAATGCAATTCCAAGAAAAGCCAGCTGTGGGATGGTCATTCTATTCAAAGAGTTTTGAGATGGACTTTTTCCATGTGAGAACAAACCCAAAATGTTCTATTTATTTTTCAGACCAAATTAATATTGAAAGGTGTTCTGCTCTGCCAAAATGCAGAAGTATATTACTAGAGTCCAAGGACTAGTGTGGTTTATAGCTTGTATTTGTTAAAAGCACAGACATATCTCTTATAATTAGGTGAGGCCGAAGTTTTTTACCTGAAGTAAAACTATAGAGTCTAGCATATATGTGGAGGAGGGGAGAAGGACTCTGAGGAGAAAGCACTTCTTGCTACAACTTCATTTTGATTAAAACATTCAGGGCGGCAGTGTTGAGGTGAATTAGAGGTCTGAGGGTGGGCATGGCAGAGGAAGAGATTTGAGAAACAGTCATGAATTATGTATTTTCTGGGCTTTAAGTTGGACCCCAGAGTATTCAGATATTCAGAAATGGTTCTAACAAGCCAGTAGGATTTAAAGAATGATTGAGGGTCGGCTTTTAATTCTCATTCTTAGCAGGTCATGGCAACAAGGCCATGGTACCTGCACAGGCCATTCTCATAGATCTTCCATACCTACTTTTTACTATGGCAGGTGAATAAACTACAGAATCTGCCTGCAGGAACATTCATGGTCTGTTAGACAATCATAATGCACAATATCAAATATAATTCAATTGTAAAAAGCTATTACTCTTTATTGAATAACAGATTTGATGAGCAGTAAAGAAACAAATCTGGCATCTGTAAAGGCCATATGGGTGGATAATAGAAATCCCAGGTTTGTACATAGTAAGTCACAGAGCATACAGCAGTAGGTGCACCCTCTGTGAGAGGGGAAGGGAGACACTTTACCCTTAACAGTGTTTTGCTTTGATGAAATGCAGGTATGCATGAGCAGAGCCCGATAATTGGGCTGTTTTTCAGTTTCCCAACTCAGAATGAGTTTTCATGTGAGGATGTCATAGCAATAATGAGGATGGAAAAATCTAAAGACAGTAAGCAGCTTTCCTTTCACCTTGTTCAATGTTCCTTATTCGGTGAGCTGGGCTGCTGTCTTTTACTTTATCCTATCAAACCATTACTGAATGATGGTACAGGTTTTGTGCGAAAAGAACTGCAGTGTGTCTTCTCTTATTCTCCTATTGTCACATATTTACATTGGAGTTCCAGCTACTGGTCACCAGCTGCTCAAACATGCCTTTGGGGCTTTCATGAAGAAACACTTACACTCCTTGTGTTCTGGCTCAGTGCGTTTGTCCGGTGTGGAACATCATCCGAAGTACACAACTGGCCCTGCCAAATGTCCAAGATTTTCTCAGCACATATTTGCCCTGGAAAAGGCCATGTTGGTGTTTCTGGTATTTTCTCCCAGCCAATATATTTGCCTCCTTTGTGCACTCATTTCATACAGATGTACATTTCAGATGTACATTTCATACATCTGCAGAAACATGATCACAACAGTTCTCCACACAGGTTGAATGTTTGATAACTACTGAGTTTCTGAATCAAACTAGTTATCCTTAAGTGAAAAACTACTTTGTCAAGGCAGGAAAGAGAGTTTAAAACACCCAAAGTAAATGAGGAGAAGTGGAAGTGAGGAAGTTTGGTTCTGCCAGTAGCCATGATGGGGCAGTACAACTACTCCAGAGAGTAGTCTGTCACTACACCCTGATGGGCTTGTTTAGTATTTTTTTCTACACGGAATATTAGTGCAAAAGTGGTTGCAGAAGCAGCCTGTGAGTTGATGAAAATTTTGATCAGAATGGGCTGTCCATATGCAGTCATCAACAGACAAGTGCTCTTTTGTAACTCTGCCTAATTAGGGCATTGGATTTGGGGAAATCAGGTGCTTCTCCTGAAATTCAAAAGCTAAGAGCGTAGTACTGTAAAGCAAGAAAAACAGGTTAAAATCTGCTCCATATCCATGTGTGGCCCAAGAAAGAGGGCAGCAAGGACTCTGCTGCCCTTTGTGCCTAAGCCAGTTAATGGTGTTTGCCCCTCTTCACCAGTGTTAGCATAATTGAGGAAATATTAAGCCACAGAAAAAGCATCTCTTTCCAGCATTTCTCTGTTTGGATTTTCACATTTAATTTCTTATGGTTGTGCAGCAGCTACTGTGCTGCATTTGGGGGTAATGTGTGCTACTGTTTTGGATGGCCTGACCATCTGTAAATAATACTGCAAATAGTATTTTACTTCTTTTGCTTTGTTTTTTGGCAGTGTACGTATTTGCAGGCTGTGAGGTTTGCTGGCATGATCCAACAGGGTGTTCAGCGACACTGGTCATTGAGCTTGTCCCTGGAGAAGAGGCAGTGGCAACCCCTTCAGGATCATGTCTCCTCCAAGCACTTTTCAGAGTCTCTGGCTTTATTCCGCTCTGCAAGCTCTATTGTTTGGCATTGTGCATTCACAAGCTACAGTTCCTCACAGGAGAAGCACTTGCTGCTAGAGTAAAGGGTTTATCTTGTATTTTTAAGTAAACATCAATTTGTGGGAGTACTGGCCTCTACTTTTGGAGCTGCTACCACTCCAGTAGCAACAGGAGGCTACTTGCCAGCTCCTGCTTGTTTTCACTACATTTTTTAGATGGTTTATAAGTTAAGATGGCAATGAGAAAAAAATGACATGAAGAGAAAATATTTTTTTCTATTTATACTGTATTTTGTTCATGTTTTGAAATTATTTAGATATCCAAGGAGTAAGTTAAAAAAAATAAATAAATACAAAGATCATGATTACTTCTACTGTAGTAAGCTAAGTGGCAATCCTTGTTTCAGCCATTTCAGCCTTCTTTGCTCACACACAGGATTCCTTTTCCTTCTGTGAGACTCATGCTGTTTGGGATAGTATTTTACAGCACTTGCCTTTATCATATATTCCATTAATTGTTTTTTTTTTTTACATTATATCTGAAAATATGTTTGTTTGATTGTGCAAGCTAATACATTGTAACACTGCTCAGTGTTCAAGGCCAGGTTGGACAGAGCCTTGGGTGACATGGTCTAGTGTGAGGCATCCCTGCCCATGGAAGAGGGGTTGTAACTAGATGATCTTAAGATACTTTCCAACCCAAACCAGTCTATGATTTCGCTCTTTCATTTTTCTTTTATGTAAATAATTTATATTTGAAACAAACCAGATATACACAAAATACCAATGGTGGTCTTTGAAAAACATGTATGGCTGTTTTTTGCGTACCCTATTAATCAGAAAAGCCCACATCCTGTGTTTGGTGTTCTTGTCTCTTAGCAGCTAACTGATGTGAAAACTGTGCCACTACTGGTAATTTTACTATTTCAGGCCATATTTTATACTGAAATTGCAGCAATCTGAGACAGCTCTGCAGTCTATTATGAGTCTGCTTTACTTAGCAACTGAATTTGTGTTGATTACTCTAATTTACTGTAATTTTTCCTGCATACCCCAGCATTTAGAAGAGCCCTTTGAATCTGCAGTTCTGAAATGGCTCACAGTGTTCACTTTCTTCCTATCAGCAAACAACAGGAAAAAGAGTGTGTGTCATCGGAAGTGGAATGTTTTTTCCTTTAAAAGCAAGTATTTTTCATGTATCTGTGGATTTTGGACACTGCCTACTGCCAAACTGGGCAGTCTGCTCTCTTCTCTGTAACCTCTTGCTATGCCTTCCCACCACCTACTCCGCAGCATCCAGAAGGTGGTTTAGGGAACTAGGTCATCAGCAAGGAAATTAACTTTACCAAAAATTTTCCTCTTGGTTTATGTCCCAGAGAACTGTTCATCGCTCAGTCAGGCAAGTAATAGTGGTGGTGTAGGGGAGGGAACAGAACCACATTAAAGGAAGAAGACAGGGGGAGCAGCATCCTCTTCTTCACTGGCATTAGGCTGACTCAGCCATGTCCTAAAACTGCACTCTTAATTCCCTGGTAAAATCAAATGTAAGATAGAAGTAGTAAGTAAGGTTCAGGGTTTACCTATCCTAATGTCAAGTTGTCCAGTGCCTAAACTTAGCATGATATTAAAATATTTTAAAATGGGTGGTAGACTTCAGTGTCACATTTATTAAAGTGCTACCTTTATTTTTACTTGCTATATTAGACTATACCTCTGTCTACTTAATACTGCACACTACTACATTTGCTATTTAGTTTGCAGTGGGTTTAGTACGCTAAAAGGAACAAATACAGGCTACTCATCTAAATACCACCACTATAGATTCGTTTATTATTTTTGATGAAAAAACAGATGGAACAAGAGTCTCATGGTACCTGAGGCACAAAGAGAGCTGTTTTTTAGAAGTGAGAATGGCTGATCACTGCTTAAAGTTTTATGTGGGAAGTAAGGGTCCAATTCCCAGCCATTGCAGCATAGGTCTTGTCAGAAAAGGCCTTCCATTATTCTGAAACCCTGGGTTTGTTCCATGGAAGTTTATGAAGAAGTTGGAGAACTTCCTAGCACATACAGGGTTTCCAACAGAAAACAAACAAACAAACAAAACCCAACAAGCAATGGGTCTGCCCTGCTTGAGAACAAGCAAAATTACACCAGAAAAATCTTTTGTTTCCTCTGCTGAGTACAATTCCTGAGAGTTCCAGCTTGAACCATTACCCACAATCAACATTTGAAGGAAGGGTACCACAGGAATACTTTTTTACTCCAATACAACGTGGTATTTTTCTTGGGACCTATACCAAACACGGATGGGTAAATCTAAAAGAGACCAAGTACCCAAGTTTATTTTATCCTTTAATGCAGATCCCTATCCTCCTGTCTCCTTCATGTGGCAGAATGTATCACTCATCTTTAGGGAACTAAAACCATGGGTTTCTTGGAGACATACTACATTAGGAAAGGTTCAAAATAAGATTTTATATGCAGATGTCTTCAGAGGCCTACAGCTCTTTGGCAAGTATCACATAGTGTATTTTAAGGTAGATGTCATTTTAATGAGGCCTCCTAAAAGTAAAACACATGTGAAGATAACACATTAGGGTAAAGCCTAATAAAAATGTGCTCATCTTACCAATGGGGATCTTAGTGAGGCAAAAGATCTAATTTCCAAAATAGCATCCACTTAAGGAGAGGAATACCTTCCAAAGAAGAGAATGGTGTTGGTTGAGTTGTGTCTGATGAAGAAGAGGAATGGATGGTCAGCTTTGAACTCATAAGAAATTGGGCGACACAGAGGCACTGCAACAAGCCCCATGGCACCAGCTGCTTCAGTGCCCTCTTCGTTGACTTCCACAAATGATTTCTGGATGACTTTGGACACAACCAAACCATCTTTCTTAGAGATTCCTGACAAATCAGCTTTTCCCCAGTCAAAAACATTTATTGCTCCCATCTCCTGGAGAATTTTGTTGAGAACATAACTTTCCTCCATCTTGAACTGAGGCAGGTACACCTTCACTTTCAGCTGTTCCATCCTATCCGAGTTGGTCCATTCTGCTAGCTTTTCATACGTCAGGGTGTGTTCAAGCTGTAAGGTGATATTGATAATAATGATTGACATCATAATGAACAGAAGGAAAAGATAATCAGGTTCAGTTTTTCATTCTTGTGTTCTGACCACACTGGAAAAATGTTAAATTATTGCTCTGTTTGCAGCCCCTTATGTATGCTACTAAAGAGAAAAGGAAGTATTACCTGTTCCAGGCCAGTAAAATCCTCACAGACAACTTCAGGAAGAAGAATGAACATGCTCATTTCGTTATCAAAATATAGGAGCTCTATCACTTTCATTTTGAGTTCCTCTATGATGGCCATGTTAAAATAACCTTCTTGAAACATCATCTGCACTGTCCTTCTCTCATTCTGGAACACACGAAACATACTAAGAGAAAATACAAAAATTATCACCCAGGTTTAAATTGGTTTCAGTATTGAGATAAGAGTTCAGTCCAGAAACATTATTTACACTGGTCGTGGGTTTAATGTACTTGTAGCATTGACAAGTTCCTCTCTCTTAACTGTAGTTCCAATTAAGTTAACCATTTTAGGAGCATAAAACCCACTTTGCCATTTCTACTGGTGCCAGATTACTTTACTCACAACTCCCTTATTACATCCTTCTTTATGCTGGCATGTCAGATGAGGAAACTGATGCAACCATGAATCTGAATTCTTCATGAGTAATGTATACATTATCATAGAATCATAGAATGGTTAGGGTTGGAAAGGATCTAGGTCCACCCCTGTGCCATGGACAGGGACACCTCCCACTAGACCATGTCGCATTCTGCTGAGATAATTTGTCTTTAGCTCATTTTTGTTGAAAACAAACACTATTCTGTTGGTAAATAGTAGCAGAGGAATAGAACCCTCAAATCCAGTTCCAAAAGCAGACTATTTTCAGAACAGTGTCCTTAGCTGCAAAATCCCCAAATTAGCGCATGTGCTCAGTGACTCTGACACAACCAGGATCTCAGCTGCATGAGACCCACTTCTGATGTGAATTGATAGAAAGTTACATATCTGGTTATAAAACTGGAGAGAAGATGTAGCTTTCTATTGTTCTAGGTGAAGACCAGTGTTTTGTCTTGGGATAACAGAGAACAGAAAAGGTCCCATCTGTTGTTATAGGAGACAGACATCTGATTTCCATCCCCCAGCTGTCCCAGTTCCTGACCATACTGTACCTTGTTCAGATAGAAATATGTTTCCTTAGTGTCTTCTTTCTTAAATTCTACTGCCCACTTTCCTTTAAAATATATAGCACTGACCAGGACAAGTACAGTAGAGGGATCGATAAACCCAGCAGAAAATAGGTCTTTGATTTTACCTTTAAAAATAATAAATTAAGAAGAATTATTGCTTTGTTCAGGTATCATCTGCACTTGACTTAATTATTTCTGTAAATCTGAAAAGTAGTATAATGCCACCAGACAAATAACAAAATGTTTATGTACAGCTTTTGAAGCCAGGGACTCGGCATTTTTGTGCTTCTTCCTACTTTCATTTCCTATTAAGCAAAAATCTGCAGGAAGTGTTTAATATGTAACAATCCTGCTACTGTTGGAAAAAAAGGTGGAAACTGAAATTAAGACATAATATTGTTACTGGTTCAATTACAAACCAAACAACCTACACGTTTTCTTCTTTACCTTTTGTCTCATTTTCCACCCAAATGTTAATTTTATCTGTGACTTCTTCTTCAGTGTATTTAAAATTGACTGGTTCCAGTTCTGATCGATAGAATTTCTTTGTGGAATCCAAGTATTGCTGGAAAGCACAAATGACAGCAGTTTATCACAACAGGATGATTTTTATAAGATAGATAATTTCATAGCTTCAGGACAATTCCATGTAGTAGATTGGTGAGAAAGGAATGAGTAAAAAAGGCATATATAATAAATTAATTGAAATAACTCAATCATTCAGTTTTTAGAGAGATGTTATTTATTAAAAAAAATATTTTCAGATCTCTTTTGCTGTATTTTCAAGCTGTCCTGAGCAGCGGAAATGTCTCAACACAGAAAAAAAAGTATCTATCAAAACCTGGTACCTTTCTTTAAGCTTATATATAATTTTTATGCTGCCTGTATTCCCCTAACTACTATGCGAAGAAGGTTACCTTATTTTGAACAAATAATCAGGATTGATAATATCACAATGAGATATATGTGTGTTTATATATATATATTTTTTTCTTTGTAGATATATGGACAGTAAAACACATAACGTCTATTAAGTACAAAACTTTTTCAAGCTGCTGGTCACCTTTTTCTGTCTCTGAAAATTTCTCTTTACCTGGAGTGCAAAGTTTTGGAAGCAAGATGAAATATGCACTGGCAAAGAGAAAAGTGGTTACAGGCATAATATAGCACTATTTCTAGCAATAGTCTTAAATACCTGAAGCCTGTTTTCCTGAGAAAACTGTCTGTATGCACTTGTATTGCCTGGATTGTCAGGAATGTTCTGAAATGGTGAATTCCATTAGACTAGTTGACAAAGATCTGAAAGGCTTCCTTCTAAGCCTTGTTTGCAAAGCAGCAGGAACCAGAGTCCCATATTCACACAGACTCTGAAGTGAAGGTGGAAGAGTGAATAAAATCATTTTATTAGAAACAGATAAGACACCGGGGGAAGAAAAAGCTCTTCTTTTGGTTACAGACCTTTGTTTCTTAGCTCTTTCTTTCTATTGCTCTGTTAGACACTAGTTGTGCATGTGTTTCATTTCCCTTTGTACTTTATGATGGAAGAAATCCTGTTGAGTTTGTAACTCCAAGGAGCTGTTAAAACAGACACCATGGCCACTTACCTGGAAGAACGGATAAGTAATTTCTCCAAAGAGCCTGTTGGCAATGGTGAGGGAGCAGCCTGGTCTGGGTTCACTCACTGCAGCCAATAGGGCCTGGAACTGGGAATGGACTCCTCCGTCTTCTTCACGCTTCAAACAAGAAGACAGGAGTTTCAAGGTAGGCTTGAGCTTTCACCATGCAAAACTGGACCTGAGGGTGAATTGCAGCCTCTCCCTATGTGAGAAGCCTGACTCCACCCAGCTGATACAGGCATCGGATTAAATGCATCAGGACACAACATCAAGGTCCCTCTGTACCAGATGTAAAGAATGACAAAACAATTCCCCTTCAGGCCCACACTAGTCCAGCTCCAAATCACTGAGCAGAAGTCTACCGGATTAGATCCTTGGAGGAGTAAGCTGCAAGGTGCCTTTGGCATGCCCTGTAGACAAAACTTTGGAGGTATCAAAACTTACCACGTTTTAGATTGGTACTGCTGTTTTGGTTGGAAACCTATAATGAGAAGGCTTAGCTGTTGAAATATGTGATCTCACCAGGCCCACACAGAACATTAATAAGCAGGTCTGCAGATCTAGACAGAGAGGCTGCTCAGCCCTGCTGTGCTTTCTGATTATGTGATTGTTTGCAAGGAAAAGGGCCGACAAACCTACACCTACGGCTTCATCTTAGAGCTGCACCTGTGTCTTACCTTCTCAGAAGGGTATGTGTTTCCTTGGCTTGTACTGCTCAAAACTTCACTGAAATGAAATACCTGCAATGTAAATACTGGGTGAATGCAACTGAGTGACAATACCTCAAAGCTTAACCAGTGTTGCAAGCCTATCCCTAAATGCAGCCAGACACAGTCAGTCCCAATTTTCCTTGCAAGTAAACATGAAGGTTTTGTAGAGGGTGAGTTCATGAAATCTTTGAAATCTTTCTTCTTAAGAAAGAAGCCTTTGCATATCCAGAGAAGACAGAAGACCATGTTAAAGGGAACCACCACTTCTGAGCTCTGCAGAGTGGAGGGATACCTCAAAAACACTTCCTTTAGCACTGATATATTCATTGCATGATCAATTACTGTAATAGTGTTTGGTCTGAGAAAGTTTGGTGTTAGGAGTAGTGTAAGAGAGGATATTTTTAAAGGTCCCACTGTGTGCATCGCTCCTTTGATGTGAGTAGGAACTGCATCAGATGATACTATCGGCTTCTTGGCTCTTATCTTACTACTGTCCCCTTTTCAAAGCAAAGGAAACCCACCTTCTCAATCTGTTCGAGTGTGTTGCCCCTGGCTCCGAGGACAACCATCCCAAAGGCAGCTGAGAGACTTAGTGGGGAGAAGAAGATGTTTTCATTTCTTTTTCTTTTGCTCAGCTCTCTGAAAAAGTACAGACAGAACTTGGCATTGGCTGCACTGAGAGAGCACATTGTGGCACTGTGGTGGCCTGCAACAAGGGAAACAAAGATTTAGGCTCCTCATCCTTACACCTGCTAAGCTTAGATGCCTTGGTAGAGCACAGAAAAGTTTTCTGCAGTAAATTGTTCAGTGCTTTATGGAAGATTCCTGATTCACCACGTTTGGGATTTCACAGCGAGTCTGAAAACCAGCACCCTGAATGGCAGGAGAAACAGATTTCCAGTGTCCTGAGCTCTGCTGTTTCTCCAGCTCAAGCACTAGCTATGGCTTTATCACTTAGCCCTAACTTTGTTCTAACTACAGTTCCAGCTCACTTTATCTTTCTTGCCTTGAGTCCTTTAGGCACAGTGCTTATTAATTACAACCCTTGACCATACCTCACTCTCTGTCTCTCTCTCTAAAACCTTTGTGCATATTAATCAGCTGTCTCACATACTGTGCCCTTCTAAGGCTGGTTCCTTAACAAATGTTTGACAAAAAATTAAACTACAGATAGGTTCACTTAGTAAGATTTTCAGCAAAGGCACATTGTGTATTAGTGGAAAACTACAGTTATATTTTTTATTTTGTCTGCAGCTTTAATATTTTTCCCAAATATACTTCAGTTACAATCAAAATCATTCCTAGCAAATAATCTTGCATGTTCTGCAAGACTCTTCACATTTTGCACCTAGGATAGAGTTCCTTTCTTATGAAAGCCTTTTCCCAGTCTCTTCATAAAGTAAAATGATGTAGAATCATCTGATCCATTAGAAAGTCAGTTTGGTATTTCAGGGTTTCCACTATTTTAAGTCACTCTCGTTTTGATTCCTACTGAGTCTGAATAACTTTCTCCACAGGTATGGAAGATACCTTTCCCCCAGTACACAAGAAGAACTAAATTATCTGTATAAATATTTAAAAGAAGGAATGGTATAGAAAGATTATACTCTCACAGATTACCACTCTGGGTCATGCAGAAGAGTGGGAAGAGGTTTGAGTTTGACCTTCTTTAGAAACACACCTGGTAAAGCCATTGTACAAGATAAGCTCAGCTCCATCACACAGCCCATACATTTTAATGTAATCCAAAATGTTGCACAGCATCTTGACAATATTCTTACTTCCTCAGAAAGTTATGCACGGTATATATGTGCTAAGCAGATATGTACATCACTAATGCATGTATCAATCTTTAGACATTTCATACTTCTGCCATTTGTAATGTAAAGGTTAGAATTAAAGGTCAGGGAGATATTTACCTTCTCAGGACTGATGGTGTCAACTTGACTGTTGAGCTTGATGACAGGGCTTCTGGAGCAATGGGATATAAAGCCATTGCCACTCCCAGTGGCAGCATAGTTTTCCCTCATGATGAATCACATTCTTGTCTGTTGCAACCAGTTATTATAACTCTGGGACCTTTTGTGGAATCTTGAATTTTTCATTATCCCTAGGACTTCAGAAAGGAGCCACAATATTAAGGTGTAAAAAAACCCAAACAACCTACCTAATCATAAAAGGAATGCAAACTCCTAGAAACAAAGGAGATTTCAGGGTTTTTACACGTATAAAAAATAAATTCTACAAAATCAGACGTGTTCCTGTCAGAAGTGACATCATTGAATGCAAACATATGCTTTTGCAATAAAAATTAATTATTAAAACCTCTGCAGATGGCACAGTAGCAAGGGAAAGAAAAAACGTAAGAGTATCTATTTGGCCAATTGTGACATAAGGTAGTGGTTCCAGGGTTGAGGTAGGGCAATTCCCTCTGCCTACTCCAGTTCTGTGCTTCTGAAGACTTCTCTTTTAAAGATCCCTTTCGGGGAGCTTTCGCTACCTGTTTTCTTCCTCAACTAGAAATGTCCTTAATGGAGAAGAGGAATTCAGCCATTTCTTGCAGCTTGTTGAATATCCAACTGCCTGCACAAACAGTAGTTTGCTTTCATTTGTGCGACATCCTAGAAGAGGGGCACGTTGCAGACACAGCGCAACTGGACCAAGTATGTACATGGGGTATGCTGCAGCTGAGCACTCTGCAGGTGTTGCAGTGAAGTGGCACAGATTGTGCGCATTCATTTCAACCACTTCACGGGCAGACTAACTCTGGTAGACCTGGAATGCTTTGCTTCCTGCAGAGGCACTGCAGTTCAGGGCTTCCCATGCAACATCTGCATTTCCTTACGTTTTCCTGATGGAAATATGAGGGTCTTGTTCCTCCTCTGAGGATTCCTGATATTTCTACTGTAAGTGGGAAGACATTTGTGGCACAAGGGTTAGAGAAATTATCCCTGTCCACATAGCCTTCTTTCAAAACCTTGCGTTCTGCAGGTGTGTTTACAGGAAAGCTGGACAAGTTTTGTCCAGACAGGCTATCCACAATGCCAGCTAATTTTAGCCCAGAACTTCTCATTACTCTTCATTTTTATCAGTGACTCTGAGTAAGTCTGGTCCTTGCCTTATATTTCTTCACCAAAGCATAGGCAGCAGAGACAGAGAAACCTAGTTATAAGAGGTATTATGTTTCTTGGGTTATTTTCCTAAAAAGAAAATCTTCCTTCACATTTAGGTTATATGGTGGGGGGGGGGGCAAGTATTTGCATGAGTGTATGCAAGCACAAACACTGATAACACTGTTTTGTAAGTGCTCTAGTTATTACTACTAACATATACTTAAGTGTCAAACCCACCATATACTAGGCTTCTCTGGCATTTAGGAAACTCTGAAGACAGTTTCGTATCAGTCATAAGATATTCACAAGTTTATTTCTTTCCAGTTTGAATTTTCTCATATCTTTTTTCTTGGAGGAAACAGGAATTAAAAATACACTGGTCATTCAAGGACAAGCCTTTGCCATTGCCTGAGGACAAGAAGGTTAGACCTGCACAGATTTTGCCTGAAGGAAAGAAAGTCATCCAGAGTGGTTTTACATGCTGAATGTCAGGGCAAGAAAACTTCCCAATGAAGTGTCTGTTTTGCTTTCGTGTTTTCTGCTGAGGAAGTGGGTGCTCTGCACTCAGTCACTTCAAAACCCAGCCCGTGAGCCTGTTCTTCATGTTGGCACCTAAAGAAAACTGCAGAACAGGACCAGCAGATGCTGTTCCTTTCTTGCAGTGGTGGGCTGTTCTCTGCATTCTTATTTTTAGCATTAGGCATAGCACAGTTGGAAGAAAAATGTTGTGGAATATAAAAGCAAGTAGTAGCAGCAAGATGAAACAAGTCTAACTCAGAGTAGCATTCAGTCACATCCCAGAACAGAAGGGAGATGGCTTTCAAGCAGCAAGACACATTATCTTTCAAAAATACTGGCAATCTTGAACACAAATTAATATAGCGAATGAAAAATTACAATCCTGGATCACAATAAATCATGTCCTTTTGGCACAGGGGGTGTGTTGGAGCCACAAGTCCCCTTAAAATTCATTCTTCTGTGCACGAATCTTTGATGGCAAAGTTCAACTTATCTAATATGTTAGCAGAGCAAAACACAACACTCCTAGCCCTACTTAGTTTTCTGATACTTTTGAGTTCATCTTAACTGCCTTAAGCAAAGAGGTTCCTTAGCTGTTTGTTATTTCTCTATTTCTTCGGGTACTTCTGCTGGTATTACATTTTTGAGTTATCCTAAAGATTAACTGTTGCTCCATTGCTCCATTTGGTGGAAGTTTGTTTCACATGGATCATTTTCTGTCAGTGACCAAATTAAATCTAATGAAGTAGCTGGACTGGCACTAATTCACAGAAAGAAACATTCTCTGCTGCTTTTCTAGTCTCTTCCTTTGATATTTTCTGCTCTTCTAGGTTAGTATAACACAGAGAGTGGTTTAGACAGCCATAATACTCTAAAAGGAATGTCTGAAGAACACAGGAGGTTTTGTTCAAGCAGATTGAAGGATCTCCTGTGTTGTAGGTTCTGAGGAAACTCAGTGCACAAATGCCTCCTGGGAAAGACAAAGCTACAACTCATCCTGCCTTTGGACAGGGAGCTGGGCTAGGACTCGCAGCACCCTGTCAGCCCTGTGACTTATGCTCTTGGAATAATGCAAAGGTTCATTGCTGGCCAGAGGAAAATGAAAGGAAGGAAAATGGTCATGGTAGTCTCAGAATCAGGAGACTCTCTTTATTCGTTTCCAAAAATAAGTCTCCTAACAGGACAAGGTCAATAACAGGAGGTTTGGTGTTATTTTTGGTTTTTTATTGTTTTTTGTTACAGAGAAGAAATTGCTGAGATGCATTGCATGGAAAGGAAGATGAAGATATAAAAGCACTGCAAGCACAAAAGAAGTGACGTATTTTGGTTTACATAGGCAGAACCAAAGACAGCCCTTTTGGGTGGTGGCCTGGTGCTTGTCATGGTAAAGTTGTTTTCGGGCACAGAGGAGTGGATCCCAGACTGAGCTGCTTCCTACCCTTAAAATTCCACACATTTAGCTAAGACTGTAAATAGTGCTGCATCTTTAGGGACAAGTTTCGTTCAGTACTGGTTACCTGCACTGTTTACCTGTTTGCAGTCATAGAAAAACACAATTTTACAGCAAAAAGTAATGACTTACTCTGTACAGAACAGGTCATCAGCATATCCTTTGTGATTATTCTCTGCTGCAAGTAGAATAACCTGCAGTAAGCCTGGATGGCTTTTTTTTCACCATTTGTAGTCATATGCTTCTGTTGCTGTCAGTGTCTTCAGGACACAGCAGGGAAGCAGGTTCTTGCTGAAGAACCAGAGGCTGATCTTAAGCTTGACACCAAAGGTTCTTATTAGCCCTTTCATCTGACAAAATGCATATTCTGCTACCACTCTGAGACTGCTTAGGTGGTAATTATAGAGTACCTGATGTGTCTGAGGTTGCCTGTGAGTAAAGGTATGATTGGATACATAGGGTTGCTGAATAGCAAGAACAAACAAGGACTCCTGTGATTTTCACTGGCCAGGGACCAAGAAGGCCCACCCTATTTGCCTATTTACATCTGCTGTGTAAGCATCACGAAAAATAACAAGCCTTGTACATTATATCAGAGCAATTAGAG